TCATAGAGGAAATAAAAACAAACAAATAGTTAGAAAACTATACCACAAACGGTCAAAAGTCCCCACATACCCACTACAATACCTATGTATACGATCACAATAGCCCGTGATATATGAACGACAGCGCGCGTGCCTGCCAGCCTGGCACTCTGCCAGCCCACTGCATTACGTATGGCGTCATAAATCCATGGCTCTGACACCATAATATTGAAGGTTAGTTTGCCTCTATCAAACTGTTATTAGGTACTAACTTATATACATCCAGATATACCTACCACATAATACACATACATACCAGATATACCTAAGTATATCTAACATTGGGCTTATGATGTGTTCCTAATATTCCTTAATTCAATAAGCTCACCCCCTATTTATTACATGGGACTCATAATATGAATAGCGAAAAGTGGGTGTTACGTACAGTGGCATTAAGAGTGTAATGCCTACCCCTTCGGGGATAAAAGGCGTAATGTTATGTATGTATGTATTCCTAAATCCCTAAAGTGCATCGTGACTGCCTCGTTGGCCGAGTGGTCACAAGTGTGACTGCCAGCCTTCGGGTTCGATTTCCGGGTCGGCCGGTTACTAAGTTTTTAAGAAACATCTCTGTAGTAGCACGGAGTCTGGAATTGTGCCCGATATATGGCAATAGGCTCACCCCCTATTACATGGAACTTATAACATAAATAGTGAAAAATGGGTGTTATTATATTGTGGCATTAAGAGTCCTAATGTGCATCTCTGCCTACCCCTTCAAGGATAAAAGGCGTAATGATGTAATGATGATTATTAAAATATTATTCCTAATGTCTGTTTGAAGAATGGAAAGGTAGAGGATGACCAAAGGAAAGATGTATAAATTATTATGTTTTAGGCGCTGCTACTGGACGCGACCGTCGCCACGGCGTGTGTCGCGGAATGCTGCTCATGAATATGAGCCTCTAGAATCGCTTGAAACTAGTTGATTTACTCGTCAAACAGTTGTACGTAAGTTGAAAGCATTCCCCAAACGACTCTCAGATAAACGAAGCATTACTTTAGACGAAATAGTAGCTGTACTCACATCCATTATACAAGCAAAAAATCCAAATTAACCAACACTTCATTTACAAACGTAACACAGTATGAGTCGCAGATCAAACCACAGTTATGTTAATCGAATAGCAGACAAACTAACAAGTAAATCCTTCTATATAGTTATGTCTGACGACAAAGCTCACAACACAGATTACATCGCCGATACTGCTGGCTGGATCTCTGCTCACACCGAAGTGTTGCAAATATGGACTTGCTCAATTTGTGTGTGAATGAAAACTGAGGTAATGGTTTTAAATGGAACTATGAGGAAAAAGTTTTTTTTAATAGCAATCGGCGTCGTCCGCACCCGGAACATTATAGGTGTTACATGTGCAATACTGGCCTTTTTGGGATTAGAAATTTGAGGATTGCTGGGGATTTAGGGGGGGTAATTGGGCCTCCGGTAACCTCACACACACGGCGACATACAACGCAAGTGTGGTTTCACGTGGGTTTTCTGTGAGGCCGTGGTATCACTCCGGTCGAGCCGACGCATTCGTGCCGAAGCTTGTTTCTGCCACTATTAAATATATCGGTTTCGATAATAATAGATTCTTTTCCAAAATATTTTGTTCAATCGATATTTTTTGTCAGAAACTTAAATCTAGTGTCAAAGTCTACGTCAATCCGAAAATTTTGGATCGAGTGCGGTTATTAATTTCAAATGGACTGAAAAAAGTGTCTTTATGTGATAACGATACGAAGAAACGATTTGACTTTGTAAATATTACCAAACCAGCCAGAGGGAATCGATTACTTGTTTCATTTGTTTCACTTGTTTCACTATATAAACCGGAATGTGTCTACAATGCATCAGTCTTACTGATTTGCCGATCATGTAACATCAAATCAGTCATAGGTTACGGCGCATTATGAAATGTAACACTAGGTAACTAAAATGCAACAATACATAGGAAACAAACAATCGCAGGAACAAATACTTGGGTACGGTATTATTTTATAAAATTTAGAGCTCAGCATTTGGCATCCATGTCTTCCTGGCCGGTTAAGTACTCAATAGCCTTAGCTTGCTGAACTACGAGTGGTCCTATAAAACAAAACAAATCTCCATGTCACTTGATGGTAAGCACTGATGCAGTTAACGTTAGAACACTGAGAATTTGCACTTTTGATCGTCAAACAACAAAACTTAGAAGTGAAGCTAATTGCTTATTCCAAGGTGTAGATTCCTATGGAGAAGAACGAGCAAGAAACTCCATAGGTTACTCTTTTTCAATCAGGTTTACAATACAATGCTCTAGTTACATAGTTTTATTGGTTCGATTGTGTGAGAACAATGCAACACCTAAATCCAGTCAAAGAGACTGAAAAAGAAAATAACATTGACGATAATAAAATGATACAGTCTGGAGCTGACCAGTTCCAATCGACTGTGCCCGTTTACGAACATTTGGCGTACCCCAGCGACGCCCAACTCAACCATTTTGTAGGGATCGAGCGATCCAATGCACGTGCCACCGCCAACGAGATCTTTGAGTGAGCATGACAACTCCAAGAACTCCAAGACTTGAAAAAACCCAGATTAAACCACTTCTGCCTACTCCTTCAACAAATAACCTGCGTAATATTAACCCCAAGCTATTACAACAAACACTATCCCCAGTTATATGAAGTAGGTGCTTCGGGGGCCATTTTCTTTTATATTTATATTGATCATAACATAAACATAACATAAAGATATGGAACCCATCAAATTCGCTACCTATCTCAACATACAGTAAATATTTGCTTTCCTTATTCATAAGAGAGGCATCTAAAGGTAACAGCACAGATAATTTTTCTCGTGTAGTTGTTGCAAAATCTTACAAGGTCAAAATATTATAATTAAAATTACAAGTAGTCGTGGTGGGACGGAGGTTAAGATGGAGGTTTAACGCTCATCCATGAGGATGTGGATGATTCGAAACCTATCAACGGCAAGTACCAATGTGACTTTTTCCGAGTTATATGTCGTTTTTTTGTTTTTTGATTTATCATTATTGTTCTGTATTACCTATGTAGGTATCTGTATTTACTTATATCTTCTTTTCTTTTTAATTTTGTATTTCTTTTGTATCAGCCTATTGTCGAATAAATGTTTTTCTTTCTATCTTTACTTTCTAATATTATTCAGACCCCACTGACAAACAGTGAAGGAAAACATCGTGAAGAAACCTGGACTTTCAATTTCTAATTATAAGTTTGATATCGCCAACATGCAATCAACAAGCGTGGTGATTAATACTCAAACCTTCTCCATGTGAGAAGAGGCTTTGGTCAGCAGTGGCCAGTTATAGGCTGTAGATGATCAAAAATATAATTTCATTTATTATTTTTCGAAATAAAAAGGATAAAGCAAGTAAATATCTTGATTTAGCTCATGAGATTGTCGACATGTGGGATGTGGATTCAGCAGTCATTGTGTCGATAGTCGAAACTGCCGATGTCCTCATTCCTAAAAGCCTCGACCAACATCTGAGTAGGCTAGCGTTAGATGGTTGGGCCAAGGGCCTGATGCAGAAAGCAGTACTTCTGGATACGGCGCGTATTGTCCGGAAATTCCTCTCTCTGAAGCCCTGACAGTCGGTAGCTTGGATTTCTCCCGTTACTGGTGGGCTACTGCTTTTTATATTTTTAAATGTTTTGTTTTTTAATATTCAAAAATGTATAAATAAAGACTCATCCAAATATATCGATCTAAGTATTGCCGTAAGTAAATTACTGGCCTAAACGGCACGTTATCAAGGATTACTCTCATAGATAAGATTACCGAAACAAATCGAGTCTGTCTATTATTATTTCTGTGTAATCTGTTCCACTTGTAATATCTACAATAATATCTACAGGTTGGCAAGGGTCCCCAATAAATATGTCTATTGGGAAATCTCGATGTTTACCTGTTAGTAAATATGTGGTTTGTTGTTATAGATAAGACAGATTTAATGTTAGTTTCTGTTAGAAATTTAGGTTTTTTTCCGAGAATGTTAAACATAATAACATAACATCACGCCTTTTATCCCGGAAGGCGTAAACAGAGGTGCACATTATGGCACCTAATTCGATTGTGTAATGTATTTAACCCACTTTTTATTATTTATGTTATGAGTCTCATGTAATAGGGGGTAAGCCTATTGTCATATACAGGCCACAATTTCAGATTCCGTCCTACTATTGTGAATTTTTTAAAAAAAACTTAGTAATACTTTTCCCGACCCGGGAATCGAACCGGATACCCCTTGTCGGCAGTCGCACTTGCGGCCACTTGGGGCAGTCTATATATAATAGAAAATAAACGAAAATAAGTAAATATTTAATTATTTTCATTTATCGATTTTCTTGTATAATTCATTTTTAACTAACTTCAAAAAAGTAGGAGGTTCTCAAGTAGTCGCACTCTTTTTCACGCATGTTCACTGATTAGTCGTAGTCACCCGAAGCGATCGTTTTTTTTATTAATTATTGTTTTCCAATGAAATCATTATTACACTACGGTGTGAGTGTGACCCTAGTTGGCAGCTGTTTGTCCGTACGCAGTTAAGTTCCGGATTGTTGGCGAGGGTAGTCAGTTCAATCCGGGGACAGACATTTATGTGTTTTGTTAATACATGTAAACTAAAGCACTATGTACGCTGCATAATACAATATTCATTATTATTATGAATTTTAATCACCGGATACAGGCAAAGGATCAACTCATTTTTATGACATAAGTCAGCAGACAGATCACCTGATGGTAAGCAATCCTCTGTACATGTACATCTGCAACGCCATAGGAGTTACAAGTGGGGTGGGGCAGAAACGTCCTATGAAGCCGTGGTATCACTCCGGTCGAGCCGAATTCGTACCGAAGCATGACTCTCTCACATTTAGAACTTCAGCTGTTCTTATCTCTAATATTTAGTATTGAAAGCTATACTCACGGGAAAGGCTGAGTTTGTCCATAGTACCGATGCTCAGTGTAGAAGAGTCCAGCGTTCATCTCCTGCGCCATCTCGTAGGCCAACCCTGATTGTACGTAACCTGGACCGATCGCCCACTCTCCGCCCACGAAGATAACGATGTTGGGGTTCTCAACATTTGCGAACTGATTGTTGTAGTAGTACCTCTGGAAACAAGAATAATTTATCACCATTAAGCCACCTGGAACTACTGCTGTCATAAGAGCTGAGTACATATTTAAGACTTTGACTGCCAATAAAAAACTGTTGAAGGTTTTGATCGTAGAGTACATACATCCGAGTAAAATGAGAGTCGAGCGGTTGGAGTCTCGTCATAATACAAACTTCAATTCCTTTGTGGTGAGGGTGCTCACCGAACACCTGTCGATTCTTATGAAGGAAGAATTTTGGCCGAAATGTGTAGTGTTCCGGCGATTTCGAGACCGGATACCAGACACCGAGCGACACACGACTCCGATACTTCGTGTTAAATAAGCAGTAAAATTAAATATTATGTATATGTGTGTATAGTATTTGCAACCTGAATTATTTGTATTGTATTATTGTATATTTCACTATGGGCCAAGATGCCTGAGACAAATTAATAAATAAAAAAATCCTCCGCCAACGCCGGTCACCGGTGACCCGCATGGCGTTTAACGTGTTAATACTAATATACCAAATTACCATACCACATTTTAGACCAAGCAGCAATCTCTTGTAAACTTAATCCTTTTAAATTCCGATCTCCAACACGTTTGTCAAACATGGAGATTATGACAAACTACACTTTGGAACGAGCTCCTAGCTTCATTGACAGACTGAAAGACTAGCTGACTGACAGATAATTCAATTTTGACGTTATGAAAGTGCCTAATAAACTATTGATTAAAATAAATGCTTTGACTCTGCCTTGGAAATAAACTTCTTTACACCACGATAAACAAATTATTCTTTTATTAACTGCGTTCAAAAAAACAATTTCTACCTCCTCTTTTTTTTGGAAATCGCGTAATTAATTAACACTTTTCTGAAAACCGTATCAAAATCAGTTTAGCCAATCGCGAGAGAATCTCGAACAAACATACATGCAGGACAAACTGCGAACCTTTTTTTGAAGTCGATAAATTCAAAAAAATGTAAAAGTTACCATTTGAAAGGTCCTAGTGTCGTACGCCATGAAGTGGTTGAGCCGGACGTTCACCCAGCCCATTGTCGGCGCCCTGGAGGAGAAAGGCACACCGTCGGGGAGGGGAGGCTCCCTGTGCAGCTGGAATTGTGCCAAGCATGGCGATATCAGCAGGAGTAGCAACCCTGGAACATAAGAGGTTCTGTGTTTATCCGAAGTTTTTTATTGAGTCGATCAACGGTTTTATATTAATTCTTATAAAACGTTTTGCTATATTATAACTTGGTATAATTTTGCGATACAAAACAGTAGGAGCATAAATTGTTTATTTATAACTAGCTACTTTTGCGCGGTTTCACACGCTCTGCTCAGCTCCTATTGGTCGTAGCGTGATGTTTTATAGCCTATAGTCATCCTTGATAAATGCGCTATCCAACACAAAAATAATTATTCAAACCAGACTTGTAGTTACGAAGATTAGCGTGTTCAAACAAACAAACAAAAAAACAAACTCTTCAGCTTTATACAATAGTATAAGATTATGTTTGAGTTGAAAATGATAAAGAGCTTAGTTATAATTTTTTGCCTAGGTATAGAAACGAAAATTAAGTCTAACACAACTGGATATCGTCTGGATTCGTCAAATTCTAGATAAATCATTAAGAACCACAAAACCAGTTGGCAATTAATCTCAATTGTAATTAATTAATCTGTGACACTAAAATAAGTCTTCGCTTATCTACATACTTATACAAAATAATTAACCAATTAAAACATATTTTGAATAATCTTATCGTCAATAATTCGGCACCGAGTGTCCTTATTTCTTTTGTCGAAGCGACCGCACACTTTTTAAATGAGAATTTGGCAATACAATTGACCAATAAATAGGTTCATAGAACACTAATAACGATTATGTGTAAATATTCCTCACGCACACGCACACACTTCTTAAAAAAAAATATTTATCAAACGAAAATCGTCACAAAGTAAGTACCAAAGATTCCAAACTTTTTTAGATATTCAATATGATTACAAAACAAGTAAAATTTACAAAAAAAACTTACACATTGTTCTAAAACCTATATATTTATCACTGAACAACAAATTAAACTAAAGCTGTGTAGCTACTATAACGCACCGCCACGTTTTGACATTGTTCGCATTAATTCGGATATCTTTAAATCGATAAAGATTACAAATATATAGATATGCAATCTTTTGTGATTTCGTGAGGAAATTGGTGTATGTGTCGAAACTATTTTTACATCAAGAACGACAGTAAGTGCGGGAGAGTCATGCTTAAATGGTGATACCACGGCCTTACTGAAACCTGACGTGAAACAACGCTTGCGTTGTGTTTCGTCGTGTGAGTGGGGTTACCGGAGGCCCAATTAACCAAACGCCCTTCTCATACGGAGAAGGTTTGAGCATTATTCACCACGCTTGTTCAATTGATGCGGGTTGATTTCAAACTTATCTATAATTAGGAATTACAAGTCCAGGTTTCCTCGCGATGTTTTCCGTCACCATTTGTCAGGAGTGTCTAGAGAATCTTAGGACGTACATATAACTCTGAAAAAGACCCATTGGTACTTGCCGTTTTCATAGATTTCGATTCCGCACTCGCATGCATGAGAATGCATGAAGCGGGCGTCTTAAACCTCTGAGCCACCACGACACCAGACATATTGTTTTCTATTTTTAACCATAGAAAGAAGGAAATCGCTCCATGCATCCAATACTAGGAGTCAAGACAAGGTTATCAGAAAGCAGAATTTTCGGAAACAAGCGATTGAACAAAAAGTACAAAACAAACTATAATAATATTATCAACATGTACGTACACGAATATATCGGAAACTCATACGATACGAGCGTGGGCGGCCATATTTTAGTTTTCTTATTACATGCGACCTAAACTATTTGTATTGTAATAAGAAAATGTCAAAAGTTATGATATTACGGTATCTGTATGTATCTGAATCTAATATTTACATTTATGTAGGCAGGCATTTATCGCAAATCGATTTCTATTAATATTGAGTTTTTTCATTTAGAATTGTTGATAGAACCTGGTTTGAAGTTATTGTCCTGGTGTATGATAAAATAGGTTCTAACTATCGTGTACCTTAGCAGAGAGACGAATTACCATTTTCGTCTACCACCTCTAAACTATCATTTAACAGTAACTAGGAATTACTTAACGTGACGGAGCATTTACCTTAGGCGTCACTTAAAGATTGATGAAAATGAAAATCAAAATGTCGTTCCGTGTCACCATTTGCTACACCGCGATAAAAGTACTTAAAAAGATTAAGTTTATGGCGCGTCACAGCGCAAAAGGTCGCTGCTATGATTTAAGTTCAAGTACACAGAGGTGATTTTCACCACCAGCCTAATTATATGTGTTCTTTTATATTTACGAGTGGTTGGTGAAAACGTGGCCAAGTTTCCTATGATAAACTTATATTCTTCTTTGAGCCTTTTTCTCTAAGCTGTTTCTATCGAACTGGTTCCAGACTTAATCCTGACTGAACAACGACGAGAGTGATCTGACCCGTTAAGTACAACTGTGTCCAGAAGAACATGTTCTTTAAACTTTACGCTGACTCAGAGATGAATACAAGCAGAAGAATCAAGAATATCAAAATAAGATATTGTGTTGCACTAAAAGAGCTTGTACAATGATATTTTTAAGTTATCTGCCAAGTAATCTTAGAACATAGGTAGATGGCCATTTTGTTCCAAGATTACAAGAGCCATTAAATCTAATTTATTGCTCTTAAGGCGATAGGGGACTTAATAAGGAACTGAAATTGGGTTTATTCGGGTCTTTAGTCTTGGTATTAAGTGCTGGATCAGCGTGTTTAGAGGTAGCAGTACCTACACCCAAAGAGGAATGATTTAATTGGTTTTGCCCAAAATTTCGTAGGCACTGTAAGTTTTTAGTAAAATGACAAATCAGTGGACCTTGAACCACAGCGAAAATCTCGATTAACTACTCAAACTTATACGTCCTTAGAGAATATAAACGTCTGGCCATGTTTTTGTTAATTCGGATTGGTTGATTGGTTGACTTAGTACTAAAAAATAAGTTAGGTCAGTTGTGTGTTTGAGGATGGAATCGTGAATGTCTTTGACGCTTCCGCTCGGTTTACCTGGCTGGCTACCTAACTCGTCTAATCGACTTCATTATTAGTCGTAAATAGGCAAGTTGTCATTTGGTGTGGCGGATCAAGGAAATGGCTCAATTCCCCCAAAAGACCCTGCAACGCAGTAGTAACTAAAATTCGCGGGTTACACATGTGAATATACTAAGAAAAACAGGCGCGCAGGCTACGCGATGTCGCTGCGACCACGCACGCTGCTCATGAGAAAGACCCCTATTTAGCTCGAAACTAGTAGAGATTTTCTCAGTATATTCAGATTTTAGTTAATTTAGTATGTCTCACAATAGTTATTATAAAAATATAGTAACTCCTCCGCGGGTAAGCTTACCATCACCTGGTCCAAATGCTTGTAAAGAATATTTTGCTGTGCAGGCCACCTCCCACATACATACATAGTGATGAGTGTACCTTCACATGCGGGTGAGCACACGGATCAAAGTCCACAACACAGACAGTGATAAGATATCACCATCTGATAGTATTCAAGGAAGACAGGACGTTGCTTGTTATCTTCCAATTTTCATCTAGATTATAAGTTTGGACTTTGATACTTAGGTATTACTCACTATGATAAATTAGATTTTAAATATTTTTCCTCAATGGAAGGCTGAGGAGTATGTTAATTAAAAGGAAATAATTTGTTCTCGGTTTAACCTGTATGTATGTATGTTTGTGCGTCATTATCTCGCAATTGGCTGAACCGATTCTGATACAGTTTTCAGAAAACACTTAGGATAATGTTTTAGTATACGTATTACTTAACCGACTTCAAAAATGAGGGGAATGAAGTCGGTTATTTTACGTAGTTTACAGAAGAAATAAAGAATAACAGTTTATATGCACTGTTACAGAAATTATACAAAAAAAGAAAAAAAAACAGAACAAATTTATTATGTATTTAACATAACATATAACATCACGCCTTTTATCCCCGAAGTAGGTAGGTAGAGGTGCACATTACGGCACTTAATGCCACTGTACAATGTAACACCCACTTTTCACTATCTATGTTATGAGTCCCATGTAATAGGGGTGAGCCTATTGCCATATACCGGGCACAATTCCAAACTCCATGCTACTATTGAGATTTTTTTAAAAACCGAGTAACGCTTTGCTCGGCCAGGGAATCGAACCCGAGACTACTTGCTCGGCAGTTGCACTTGCGACCACTCGGCCAACGAGGCAGTCTGTTGTATATTGAATAATATTGAATTTCTATACATACCCAGTTTTGTTTCGTGCCCGATTATGTTATCAATATAAATGTACTACAATCAGTGAGCATGATAATTACATGAGATATAATATCACATATTTTAATATTTGGTAGATACAGATTGTAATTAGTTCAAAGATTGTGTCCGACAATATCCATATAATGTTTAAGAACTCTATAGCTTCTGCTAGTTTAAAGAACTGATCAATAGACAATAATATTAATATATTATAGATACCATAATTCTACATAGTAATGTTAATTTCATTACTTGTTCTACTGAGTCCCCAAGCGGTCACCGATGACAGCTCTCCATTTACACCAATTTAGACCTTATTTCCGATGTTTAGAGACTACTTTTGTATGAATAAATGTTGTGGATTTTTAGTAATCGTGAATACACATGTAAATAGGTAAATTAAGTGTGACAAATTAACACATGATACAATTATTGTTTGCGTCGCAAGGGTGGATCAGAAAAAACAGAAGTTACGTAAGGCAATCAAACCTGCGACCTTATTAATCAAACGCTTTACCAACAAGGCAATCACTTGATACAATACTTATCACAATTATACAAAAATCTTGTAATATATTTTGTTTTCCTCCCGAAGTAGTAATTATGGTTCTGTATTGGTAATACAATAGTATTATGAAGAAGTAAAATGTTTAAAACAAAAAATAACTGGTAAACCATTGCAAAAGCAAACCTCGAAAACGCATACGAACTCACTGTACATTATCAAAACATCACGCCATGTAATTCTCGAAGAGGTATTTCTCGTCGGGTGGCACGTGCGATGTGAATAGTATCTACAAATTTACGTCGAATATTTAACTAGATGTGTGCATGTCCATGAATTTTCTTAAAAATTAACTACACATAATTTTTCTACAAAAATGCGTCTAACTCAAGAATACAACTAAAAACCTTGTACACAACAGTCATTTTAGCAACTACTCAACCAAATCCACAGAGAAAATAATGGTTAAAAAGTAATTAAATCAAAGTAAAGTTGAACAACACTAGACGCGATTAATAGTACTTACTTACTTACCTACTTAATGAGTTTAAAATAATTAAGTGCCGCACTGGTTAAAATGTTAAATAAATCGGCAGACGATATAAAGAGGATTTTAACTAAGTTACTAAGATCCAAAGATCCGAGGATCCGAGGATCTGAGAGATCCCAGGATCAACTTGAGACCTTAATAAAAGTCTAAGTAAATCTTTTGTGACACTTCTTTTATTATTTTCTCTGCTATACACCGTTTTGTTTGAGTTTAAGTAATTGTTTAATGTGGACAGAGATATAATTTTTTTGACTCTCGTTCTTCATACATGGCCTCTATGTTTAGTTAAATTTTCAGATCGGAAAGTGTGATTGAAAGTTTCGCTTTTTTTTATGGCATAAGCCGGTAAACTTCACGTAGATTTGTTCAGTAGTTTTTATGGAGTAGATAGACACATACCCAGGTACATGTTAAGTCAGACCACCATAGTTCCCTCCTAGACCACCACAGATGGGCTGCAGGATGGGGCTGATGCCGATACGGAGTCGCGGAGGGCTTAACGGGTTGCCGGGGCTCCGGCTCGAAGTGCAGGAGTAGGAACGGGGCGGTTTTTAGTCAGTAAGAGTCTGACACTCCCTCCCGCCTCACCTGGGCGGAAGAAGCCATTG